CCTCTCCTCCAGTTATTTCTGTAATTGGTGAAATCCACAAAGGGGGGGTAGGGGAAAGAGAGGTGAAGGGAGAGAGGAATGAAAGAGAGGAGAGAGGGGAGGAAGGGAAGGAGGAGGAGGAATGGGAAGAGGGAGAAAGAGGAGACAGGAGAGGGAGAGGGAAAAAGGGAGGGGGGGAGGAGCGGTGGGGGGAGAGGGGAGAAAAAGGAAAGGGAGAGAGGGGCAAGGAGAGAAAAGAGTACAAAAAATTTGGTGGGGCAGAGGAGAAAGACAACCAAAAATTTTGCATATTATCTTTAGATTATGTACAATGGACCAGCTGCTGCATAATTTGGGATGTGACAACAGGCCAGGTTGAAGAGTTGAGCCAACAGAATCCACTTAATTGACCTTCTTAGAAATTACATTTAGTTGAACTCAAGCTTCTGCCAGCTATCCAGTCAAAAGTGTAAAATATGCTTTTTTTTTTAAGATTTTATTTATTTATTTGACAGGCAGAGATCACAAGTAGGCAGAGAGGCAGGCAGAGAGAGAGGAAGGGAAGCAGGCTCCCTGCTGAGCAGAGAGCCCGATGCGGGGCTCGATCCCAGGACCCTGAGATCATAACATGAGCTGAAGGCAGAGGCTTTAACCCACTGAGCCACCCAGGAGCCCCTAAAATATGCTTTCTCTTCACCACTGTGTACTCAAGTAAACGTTTATGACTCTTAGGCGTTGGCCCTTACAGTCTGCTAATCAGTGCTGTGACCAGTGGACTCAGAAGGGGTATTCTTGCCCACGTGGGTACTACAAAGTCACGTGACCAGCTTCTGAGGGATTCGTTCTCGAATGCACCTCTCAATAGGACTTCCCTCAGAATCCCACACAACGCCTATGTTTGACTGTTGGTAAAATCGCCCTAAATGTTAACAAGTGGAGTGAGACAATGGCAGCTTATCAAACTCACGCGGGCCCCAAAAGGGTTTCAGGGACCTCTGTGAACTGGACACCGAACCCAGGGGACACAAGCTGAATGAACTGTGTGAGCAGTCGCTCCATGCAGCGAGAGCCTAGTAGGCGGGAACGAGCATTCCACAATGAGGAAACTCATCAAAATAAGCAGGTGCTGTAAACCGTGCGAGGTCTCAATAGGAATTCCAATCCTGGCAGCCCCAGGGCCACAGTCAGAAGCCCGGAGCGTGTTCACCCACCAACAGTCTGTTCTCTCTGATCCAGCTCTAAAAATGTCATACAGAATAGGTCTTAAGGAAATGAACAGAAAAAAATCTCTTTGCTCCATCCTATCTTCGAGTGGATTTGCAAATTCAAGAAGACAATAGGTTGGACGAGGGCAATCATTTGCGCCACCTCAGTTGAGTTTAGAGGGTCAGAAGCTGAATTTAGAGGCTCCGGAGGCTGTAAATGGCAGCAAACCAAAGCCTTCTCCTAGATACGTTCTCCAGATAGAGCTACAGTTCCAAGCGTGAGGCCCCTGTAAAATGCAAATCCCCCGGGACGCTTATGTATTATGCATCCTCTGTAGGGTAATTCTACCTTTGCCATGCATTTACTGGATGCTTTATTCCCCAGAGCAGGAGCTGGGCGCCAGGGAGAAAGGAGGAAGATACCAGCATCCCAAGACAGTGGGAACAAAATGCCAGCTTGCCAGAAAAGGCGGCAGCGGGAGAGAGAACAGGAAGTCTGGGCATCACCTTGCCTCTTTCACAAGCCAGACTCGGGCTACCCTGCCGTGGGTGTGACAGGGAACTGTGAAAGTCAGGAAAGGAACTGAGGCAAAGTCTCATTTCCTCAGTTCCCATAGACTGGTGTATGGAGACGACAGTCACATCCTCCTCTTCTGCTCACCTGGTAGAGTTTCTCGTCCATTTTTTAAAAAAATTCAATTGCTGTTAATCACACTGACTAAATCTATCACCAGTCCCCTATCAATATTTTGACTCATCGTGTTCTCTTTTCACCAGAAGGATGGAACTACTCTTGGCTTTTGCTTGTTGACTTTTGTTCCTGTTTTACCTCTGCACAGCAGAGAGATTAAAATCATTTGCTTCTCCATCATAATAGCATTAAAGCTAATACGGTGATTTTGAAGAAAAATGAAAACTTACAACCATCAGCAAAGACTCCAAAAAAACTAAATATAAACTGAAGGTTCAGAGGTTTTATCTTTGTATTGTATCTACTTGACTAACAGTGGGGGAAGAAGGGGGTGGGGAAGAGAAGTTAGCTTTTAAAATGCAAACGCGTAATTGAACAATAAAGGGTGACAGGAGTAGAACCAAGAGATTACCTTGATTCTACCAGCGGCTCCAGGTATTCTCAAGAGGCCTTCGGTTTCCAAACCTCCCTCTTCAATTCGGGAAATCAGCTGTGTATAAACAGAAGAACATTCTGACTTGGGGATTCCTAACAGGTACAATTCCAAGTTGAACATCTGCTTCACATAGAGATGAATGATTACAATGATGGGTAAGCGGGCTTTCATGAAGTTTTGAATGCTACTGCACTAGCACTATCCTTTCAACCAGAAAGTCTCAAAACTTTACTTCTAATTGAGAAGAAGCGGGGTCTTATTCTCCTTTGTTACAGAAGTGTAATCATTTCACACAACAGCTGCTGTACTCCAGCAGACTGAGGTTGTTTAAGCAGTGAAGTTGTTCACTGCTTAAAAGCAACTAAGACCATCCGTGTCTTCTGCTTTTCCAGAAACAGACATTCTGCAATCAAATAAATCTTATGAAATTCCATTATTTGCACATTTACATCTCATTTTTTAGTTTGTTTGAAAGACTGGTTTATGGTACGAAGGAGAAAAAAAAAAAAAACCTGTTTGTAAATATTCATTTTTAAGCTTTGCAGCTTTTAGTGGTAAACCAAGACAAAAAATAGTTCTTGTTGAGGGCTTCTAAATCATTTCTGATACCCAATGAATATACACAGATCTATCTCTAGAACTCCACTAAAATAACAAAGATTTTTTTTTAATAATGCAGAAACCCACAAAAATAGGCAAATGAAGAAATTATAATGACATACTGTCAGAAGCTAGGAAGATGATTAAAAAAAAAAAAGTGGTTAGTTTCTTGGCAGAGTGATCTTCCAATTGAAATATGTATTCCCTGGGAAATGCACACAGGCTTTATAGGGGGTACTCTGCTATTTTAAGGAAATCAATTTCTTTGTCCTCAGGCTAAATATAAGGCAATTACTAGCATCACATAGGTTTTCCTTCCTACGACCCAACCCCTTTCACCATAGCCTTCTACTTTATAAAAGACAGACCTACTCTTCACTCATCCCCAAACTTACTATAATCTCTCTGCACACCCTAAGACATAAAATCTTCCAGAGTGCCAAAGGATATAAAATTTTATTTATTTATTTTTTCAGGGAAACCTCCTTTAATGATTTACCAAGGCTCTATAAACTACATAAAGCTGTTTCTTCCATGCTTATAAAAGTGTCTATTAGGAGCAAAGCAAAGTATCATAAAATGAGGTCTTTTGACCTTTGTCTAGATGTTCTGAAATCAGATATATTGTAGCGTGTAGACACTGGAAGAGAGGCAATTTTTCTTTAATGACCTCATCTCTCCTATCCCCGGATTAAGGCCAAAGAATGCACAGATCTTCAGGGAGTCAGGTAAGAATAAAGCGAAGAGTAGTCTCAAAATTCTCCCGAGGATTTATTATTAGATAAAGTAAGAACCATCTCTGACCAAAGTAGTGCATGATTTTTAAAAATTCAACTGGAATGTTTTCCAAGACTACATTTTTCAAGGTACACTAGATAATGAACCCACAGCTAAAAACCTTACAAAAGTTATTTTAGATTAGATGGGCATTACTCAATAAAGGATTTAAAACTAAATAAAGAATACCATGCAAAATTTATTCAATGTTAGCAATTTTCATTTTTATTTCATCTTATAAAATGTTTAAAACGTTCTATCAGCAAAAAATAAAATTCTTTGCTGGCTGCTAGAGCAAATTAGTTTTTCACAATAGTACATGCCTTTCATTTTCATCAAATACACAGGATAAATGGAGATTTCTAAACAACTGAATGAGAGTAAGATCTGAGTCTTTATATTGAAGTTCTTTTTATTCCTCTCGAATGTGGAATACTAGCATCCAATAGAGAAATGTATATATAATGCCTGAAAGAATGTCATGTGATTTTTCATATTTCTCACTTTAAAAATAGTATTTTTGGCCACCACATTGTATTTCATTATTAAAATATAAATAAGAAATACTTTATAGCTCTTTTATTTTCAAGACTTAAAAATGGAAAATAACTATATTGTTCTATATATTTTAATCATGCTCCTTTTTAGTAATTTATCTTACAAGAGACATTGCATAATGTATCAGTAATGTTCACAGCATCTCCTAAGAGGGATTATATGCTTATATGAATTTATGAACTGAAAATGAAGTCAGAAGTTTTTGACACAAAGTATCTTTGATTTGGCTGATTAGTCTGACAGTGAGAATAGAATTTGCTAATTTGTCAGAAATTTTCTATAGATAGAAATTAAAAGTACTTTATTTTCCTGACGTTTTCTAAGAATATGGTTTAAACAATGTGCCTCTGAGCAAAAACAAAACAAACAAGAAAACAACAGATACAATTCACACATCTGAGATAAGCTTTGTTAAAGCCCTTTTTTTGGGTATAATTCTTAATAAATGAGAAAGTATAATCCTCTAAAAACTGATGATAAACCTTTTTGCAAACGAGCAATTTCCAGTTCTTTGTTTTGTACAAAACTAAGAAATACCTAACTGAGGTGACAGTTGCTCATCGAAAAAGTATTTTTCAATGCTAGATCATTATTATTTTTTGCTTATAATTCAGAGGGGATGCATATAGATGAGTGTTATCTGATAGTAAACTCTTTATACCCTCTTTTATTTTTGTGTGAACAAGAGTCTTTAAGGCTGTTACCAAACAACTTCAAACTAGTTGGAAGCCCAAGTCTTCTGAATATTGAAGAGACCAGAAAGGTAAAATAACTACATAAATAAAACAATTTCAAGAGAAAATGACACAGGACTGCGTGCAGCCCTCAGCCTGACCAGGAGACATCTCTGAATTTTTGTGATGGTGAATTTGATAAAGTCAAGCATGACACATCGTTGGTTTTTGGTCAAACGCCAGTCTAGATGTTGCTGTGAAGGTATTTTTTTTTTTTTAGATGTAATTAACATTTAAATCAGTACATTTTGAGTAAAGCAAATTACTCCACATGACGTGGGCGGGTTTCATCCAGTGGGTTGGCGGTCTCAGCAGCAAAGACTGAGGTTTCCCAAAAAAAGTGGCAATTCTGCTTCAAGACTGCAACACAAAAAACCCACAGGAGTTTCCAACCTACAGATTTTTGGACTCAATACTGCAATATCAACTCTTGCCCAAGTTTCCAGCCTCTGGACTGCTCTATTTCAGACCTGCCAGCCCCCACAATCACATAAGCCAATTCTTTAGAATGAATCTCTTTCTATGAACATGTGTGAGCGTGTATGTGCGCGCGCACACACACACACACCCTTACTGTTTCTTTGGAGAATCCTTACCCACTTGGAAAAGATGCTGGTGAGATCCTTGCCTTGCACAGTCATCTGTGGTGGTGTACATTTTACTTAATTTAAGTAAATTACGTTTACATTTTACTTAATTTACTTAAATTAATATGAATATCTGACCCACATTTGTCAGCACTTCCCAGCTCATCACAGGCACGGCTGACAACTATCCATACAGACACAAGTTCTATAGGCAGTGGCCGGCAAAAGCTGGTGAGAAGAACAAACTCAGCAGAACTAAGTTCATCAGGAGAAACAATGAGATACATGTTTGGAAGCAATGGTGATCATGAGAAATAACAGGACCCCAGGTTAATAGGTAAGACAGCTGAGCGCTGGTTTGGAATAGTGGAAGAATCAGTCCCAAGGAGCTTGGGCTTTGTATTGAATGAGTTTGTTGAGCCGGTTGATGGGAAAGTTCCCACTGCCACTCTTACTATCCCCAGAGCTTCCAGAAAATGTGATGTGCTGGGGATGCTACAAAAAAAAATCTATAGCTCGGGGAGTTCATAACTGATCTGCCTACCTTCCTCACTGCGCATTCCTGGCTTTCGTCATGTATAATCTGTGTTTCTGAACAAGGATGGCTCAGAGATTAGACTGAAATTTTTATATTGCCGTAGATAATCCCCTTATGAATAACTGAGTGTTGATGACACCAGCGACTTGATAGTTTAGCAATCACTTTCTTTTTCTACTTTATGGTTTCTTTGCCTACTTTGGAAGTAGGCATTGGTAAATTAAATTGGACATCCTCACTGTAAATAGGAAAGCTTGGGAAACACACACAGGCATGAAATATTCATGAGGATTCAATTCCCTAGAAATTTATAAGCAGTTCCCGCTCCGGTGTATTATAGAACTGAAATCTCAATTATACAAAGCTAGCTAATATAAGACAGGAAAATGATGCCAGGTAATCACAGTTATAGTAATAACACAGAAAACATCACCATAAAATAAAAATTATGAGCCCTTGAAACAAATTTGTTTCCTGAATAGAAAATCAAAGTACAAAATAAAAGAGCACATCAATTGGAAAACTATATTATAATATTATGAATGCCAAAAAAGAAAAAAACTTCTATTAGTTCAAGTATGTTCTCTCTGTGCTGACCGATTTAGGCCTACTTACTTTTTGAAATATCAAGGGTATTCGAGTTCCTGGTACTTTCCTCTGATCTTGTTCTAACAACACTGTCAACGGAATACAAAAAAGGCCGGAATCTGCAACAAAACATAAAACTTCTTAACTTCCATCCATCTATAAAATATTAATGCAAAAGTATTAAGGCATCAGATTTCTGATACTGTCATTCAAACAAATAACTATTTATTGAGCACCTACTAAGTGAATGACACTGTCTAGCCATTAGGTCCATACACCGCCATAGGAAAATCTTGACCCTGTCTTATATAGCAATCTAGCAAGGAAAGACAGCTAAGTAATTGATTAGAGAAGTTATACTGTCATATAAGAGAAATAATACCATGGGAGTATGTGAAATATACAAATAACTTGCTAAAGGTAACAAATTAAAAGTTTTGGCTAAAGCAAATATTACTTACTCATCTCTTTTATACGTAACTGACATTAAACATTCTACAATACAGCAAAACAGATATGTTTGCTCTTCGAGAAATCAGTCAACCTCATGATCTTGTTTTACAAGAGTTTGTCTTTAGAAACTACAGACAACTTGGTAGTTCTTAAATTGTGATTTGTAGTTTCATATATTTGGGAATAACTCCAGAAGAACTGAAAGGTAATAAATTAAAATTTTTCTAAATTAAAATCATATGCCTTCAGTCTGGTGTGAGCATAGCTTCTGCTTAGTACCTCCTACCCCACCCCCATCACTGAATGAACAATTAGCACAGAAGTGTAACACACGTCATCAGGGGAGATGTAAATCATTTGTGAATAGGAAACAGGGCTTTATATTGTGGAATGAGGACCTTGAAAACTGACACTCAATAGAGATGCCATTCAAGAGAATACCAGTAACCTAATAATCTGTAGCTTAAGAATTGTCCTAAAAATGTAATCTTCAAAAATGTCAAGAGTCTAGTTTATGAGATGAATATATTAGAGGAGCTACAAAAATATTTAAGAAATTGAAAGAAAATCTATTCTGTTAATAGTTATACTCTAAATGAGAATGGCTTAATACTTCTCTCTCTGCTAGGAAGCAATTCTAAAACACAAAAAGCCTCTCTAAGCCATTTTAAAAGTCCTAAGCACTGAGTCACAGCTATTTAAATTATATTTCTATTTTATATTTGGAAAAGACTTTGTGACAAGCTTCTGAAAAAACATCTAAAGTCTTTCATTATCCATAATGGCCTTGCGGAAAATCGGAAGCACCATTTAACTCAGAAATTCACCATCCCATGCCTTAAGCTATAATACTCAAGAGGAGCTGAGCACAGAATGAGGTCTTCTGGCGCCCAGCATGGGAGAGAGGACCTTGAGGGAAGGTATACGTCAGTCCTACAGAGATTTTGCCTCTATAACTTAAATCAGGTGAATATGTGTCTTTATTAATGTTACCATAGCAACTCAGTAATCCTCATTCTTGGTATCTCTTTAGGAGAGAACTTAAAAGTTAAATAAGAGGCCAGAGATTCCTAAAGCGTTAAACTTTGTTAAATTAATAGATAATTATCTGGATTTCTAGACCAATAAAATCTTGGATAAAAAATAAGAGGTGTCTGTTTTCTGTAAGATTATAAAAAATAAAGTCGTTTATGTAATGGGTATAGCAAGTTGTTAACAAAAGAAAAACTACATATATCCACGAGGAGTACAATTTGGTGGTATTATGTACCACAATGGCATTATTTTCTTAATAGACTGAAGAAGGTTTTTGAAAAATAGTTATAAGTAGAATGTAAATGAGCAAAGGGACAGGCTACTAACTACTCTATGTACTTCCCATCAAATAAATAAGCAAAAGCAATGAACTAGGATCAACTATCTTAAAGTCATTTTTCAAGATCTGATTTTGGAAATAAAGAAGTTTACGTACCAAAAGTATCTTTTACATGTAGTTTTCAAAGGAGAGTGCATTTGAGTTAAGATTCCTCAATACAAAAAATAATAAGAAGAAGAATCTTTAATTCAGAATTTCCTTCCAAGGTAATTAAATATTTTATTATCTCTTTATTTTTTATAGTTTAAGAGAACAGTGCATGTTTATCAAGTTACAAAATTTTTGAAGGCAATGTTTTAAATTCTGAATTTTAGAAGTATTCAAGTGTTGGTTTATTTTGTAGGTGTTCCCCCCCGCCAAGAATACTGCTCAGAAGCCAAGTTCATCTTTGCTTCTTTTGAAGTAAATCCAATGGTTTTTCATTTCAAAATTACCTTTTGTTTTGATTTTCACAGCTTTTTGTTGCTTCAATTCAATACCCAAAACATCATAGAGGGCAGTCAGCTCAATGAGGGCTAAACGGCAAACTTTCTTCATGTCCTGGGGTGCTAGGTCACCAATCCTGGTGATGCCTGTTTTGTCTTTTGGGCATCTGAAATTCTAAAATAAGTACCATTAATAGAGTAAGGGTTTCTAGGGTCTAACCCCATTTTTAGTGAAAGAAAACAAAACCGTTACTATAGAAAGAAGCTATATTCAGAGTAGTGACTATGAAAGCCATGGCAAAATCACTCCAGTCCAAATGAGGAGCCATCTTGTCATGATGACGATCCTTAAGGCTGAGGGGAGTCAGCACATGAAGTCCAGCAGACAAAGGGACCAGCTGTGGACCAGGCGTGCTAATCCCAGTGGCTGAGAGCACAACAGAGACGGTAAAACTGAAGGAGAAAAAGAACTCTAATTACTGACCTTTGACAATAAAGGGAGATTAGGAGTCAAGAGAAACCATGAGGAGGAAGAGGAAGAGGAATAGTAGCCATGAGTGAGTACTTAGAATGTGCAAGGTACACTTTACCTATGCTACTGTCACAAATATGTATAATATGATATGAAATATTGAATATTTATAATATCATATATATTATAACGTTATGCTAAAACCCCAGAAGGTCTGTACAGCATTGGGGCGGCAGGGAGAATGGAAGGAACAGTAACAGCATGGACTTTAAAGCCAGAACGCCTACCAGTCATCTCGCTACCAACCAGCTACTAACAATCTGGTAATTGATTAACTACTCATTCTACAAAATGGCAGAAGGGGAGGGGTGAGGAAGAAGGAGCCAGGCATAACCAGAGGGGAGAAGAATGAGGGCAGAACAGATGGTGGGGAGCAGGGAGAAGGTGGGGAAGAAGGCCACCTAATTCAGAGGGCTGCTGTGGGGTTTAATGCCTGGCACTTCCCCAGTACCTTTATAGGGTTGCTATTATTATTACTTTCACTGCTAAATAAAGAGATTTAGAGATACTGCTGCCACCGGCAAGTAAAGTGGTATTTTGTTGTTTTCTGCCAATATTTGCCAATATTTCTGCCAATTTATTGTTTTCACCAATATTATCTACTACCTACTCAGCCACTTTTAATATTAAATACATTAAATATAAAGAAACAAACCACAAAGTAAAAACATGAATTTCTCTAAGACACTAAATACAAATTACAGTCCCACTGTATTTACTGGTGACTAAAATTGTGATCATTCTCTAATGGTTTGATCAAAAAAGGGTTTTAAAGGCTATATCTTTTGGGTTTACCCTTGACTTCCTCATTTAATGGTCAAGGATGTTTAACTGGTTCCCTTTTACTCCCTTTACTTTGCTCATTTTTTCACCATATGATTAACACTTCCTGGTCTAAAATCTAGTACAAAGGATATGTCTTCAAGCAGCTTTTCTCAAAGTCAGATCCAGGGAACCAAGAAGTTACATAATACCCTTTCAAGGAGCCTATGAGGTCAAAACTATTAATAATTAATCCTAAGACATTATTTGCCTTTTTCACTCCCATTCTCTCATGATTGCACACTGGAGTTTTCCAAAGGTAGAAGATAGGGGCTTTTCCAACAGATTGAATACAGACGTAGATGTGAGAATCCAACTGACTTCTACTAAAGTGAGATGCTAGGAATGTTGAAATGTAAAAACCATGGCACATTAATAATTTGTTTTAGAAAATAGGGCTATTTTTCATTAAAAAATGTTATTTATGCTAACTGTAATACCATACTTGAAGTGGATTAATAATTTTTTAATTTCTCAATTTCAATTTCCAATATGGTAAATACCCATAGGTATAACTGATGTAAACAAAACCTCTACTCCCACTATCTCTGTTGTTTACTTATCACGAGAAATAATTCCTTAGTCTACATATTCATGTTCCATAGTTCAAGAACACAGGCCAGTGACAAACTTCCATGGAACTCAATCCAAAGAAATTCTTCACATTCCAAAATCACAGAAAGCAGTCTTCTTCATCTCCTCAAAATCGTTCATGAAATCTAATTTCTATAGAACTATGAGTATGCTTTCTTTCTTGGTTCAGCTACAAAACACTTCCACAGAGCTGGAAGACCAGGGAGACAACAGAGGCCCCAACAGCAGGAAATCAGATTCTTGGCCAGAATGCTGCGTATCCAGGGTTTTGTCAAAGTGCTGGAAGCCGTGGTAGTTACTGCCCTCAATACCAACATCCTTCCTGACTGGTGAAACAAAAGCTTTGTGAAGTCCTCCATGCTTTTTAAGAAGCTAACAGGGTTTTGAGACCAAATTGTTTAAGTATCATTGTTTTAGAGCATTTCCTAAAGCCTACAACTTTTGGTAACTGAGCAGCTAAATCCTTTCCAGCAAACTCCACTCAAAGAGAGAACCTCTTTACATAGCTCTTTACAGAAACTTCTTCTATAGAATCTGCTATAGCTTCAAAAAGAGTTTACTATAGGAGAAAATAGGTCTTTCTTAACTTTTTGCAATACGTTTTTTTTCCTGATGAGAATATGAAATAAAACAGCAATAAACATCATTAAACATCCATTCTAAGTGAATTTCCGGTGTGTTAATGGGGCAGCGCATGGGGTTGAGAACACGGAGCCAGAGCGCAGGTGGTCCATCCTGTCTCCATCACTTATGAGCTATGTGGCCTTTGGCAAATTACATTACCCCTGTGCCGCCTCAGCCACTTTACCTGTAAAATGGGAATAACAACAGAACCCATTCAGAAAGGGTTAAGTGTTACTACTACCTTTCTTTCACAGAGCTTTTCAATAATTTCAAGACCTCATGCCTTTCCTCTTCTCCTAAATATTACTATAAGGTAAGGAAAAAAACAGCAAGGCTAATAATACTCTTATTTGATAAATGGTCTTTTGTCATATCCTGCAAAAGTCCCCACAGATGAGAATTATTATAGCACATTCTCAGTGGGGAACTGAGACTTACTAATAGACTAAATATGGCCACACAGCCAGTGACAAAATAAGGATGCAAATTCAGATATTCTAGATGCTAAATTCAGCAATAACCATTCAGCTCTGCTCCATTTTCTCTATCCACCACAGCACGCAGAAATCTGGATTGGTCAGTAGTGATAGAGGAACAGGAGCCCCTCAAAGAGAAGAGCCAGGTCTTAATCATTTCCGTAGCCCTCCTGGACCACAGGCCTGGTGCACCGCAGGTGTTCTGTCCCAGGCTACTCAGTGAGCAAAGACACACACCCTACAGGGAGGAAAGCACAGAATCAAGCTCAGTGAGGTATGGAGCCACTGGCTAGATGGTTCCCCACTGAGCCTCACGTTCAAAATCACACAAGACTTTTCACATTTTCTTCAGGTCTGCCCCCCCCCCCCCCCCCCCAGTTTTCCCCATTGCATTTTTTTTTAAATGCTGAACCAATCTTATTTACCAACCTTTTTTTTTTTTTTAAGTTCTAAATGTTTCATTAAAATCGGTTGCTATTGATCTCATAAGCCAAACATATGTAATATAATTATTTAAAGCATTAGCCAAGGTAAATGTTTAGAGAAACGTAAAATATTATTAGTTCAAACATTTGATTTCCCTAGCCATCTATGTCATGAGCTTTATTTATTTATTTATTTAACATTGTGCTTTAATGAAAGGAGTTAGTTCTTTATCCCAATGTTTAATTCATAGCAGCAGCTTTTAAATATTTATGAAGTTTCCTGTCATTTTTGTTTAGTTAATAGACTGGATGGTTCAGTTCATTGGCTAAGAGAAGGCAATGCAATTTCAGCAAAAGAAAGGCTCTTTGCCTTTTGAAAAATGTGCTTCAAGAACGAAGTGAAATAAAATTTTTCAGAAATTATAAGGTCATCAGTTCCCATGTGTTACCATAAATTAATCAGGTAGCTCTCTCAGACTGCACCCCTCTTTTGCGGATCTCACAATACAAAGGGCCCCTTAGGTACTTCATCAGTAGTGACGGACCCTGATGGACTTGACTTTAATATGTTAAATCACTTCTAGGCTCAACTTGGAAAGCAAGAGAATCTATTCTCACCTGATCAATTTCCACAGATGACTTTTTTTTTTCTGATCTGCTAGAAAATGCATTTCTTACCTAAGATTTTTCTACGTGTAAAACGTGATTTTTTGACAGTATTTCATTCATTGTTATTTACAGAGGATGAATACTTTTCTAGACAAATGAACTTTTGAATTTACCTTTTTATATTTCTTGCATTTTTTTTTTTAAATGGAGAGCAAAGAGCCATAGTTTAATCTTTTCTTGACAACTCAGGACCATAGCCTAAACATCTATTTTGGTATTGTGTACAACTCTGTGTTTGCTATCGATTTTCAGTGTCTTCATTCAATCCTGAAACAACACCTCTTCCACTGTCCTTCAGCTTCCTCCAGAGGTGTTCTGTTCTCCAGCAAACTGCCAACATGGGTCCACATGCCTAGTTTTTGGCCTTTAGTATCCATGAAACGGTGTTACCAGAAAACCAAAGTCATTACAGAACAAGAATTTATTTGAATTAAACATAATTCAGTAAGAATCCAAAAGATACTAAATGAAGACTTAAGAATTAAATATAGGTGTGCATCTAGGATATAGACTTAACCAGTTATAATTTTAAAACTATGATCTTAAAAATTTCTGCATTAAACCCTTAATGTTCAGTCTCCAAAGCAGGATGAAAGAGTATTATTAAATTTCTCTTGTATATGATGGACCCAACAATGCAGAATCTTATTTATATAATATCTCAAGCTATCCTGAGCAAGTTGTCAGCAGCACCAATACAGAGTCACTAAACTCACACCTAAATTAAATGCATTTATACCTTCAGGGCACATTAAGTGGAGTCAACATGGTCTTCCAGAAAAAACTCCAGATCCAAAAGCTGAGTCACCTGAGTCATCTAAGCCAAGCCTTAGCATCCCATATAGAGTCTAACCTATTTCCCTGTATGAGAAATAGGAATTGAAATATCTACCTCATAGAGATCATTTGATAAATAAATACAGAGCATATTTTTTGAGATACAGTGGGTACATAAAACACAGTAAGTAGTGGCTACGTTTTCAAACTGAAGCCCATTAAAGTTATGAAACCTGAGCTCCACATTTAAGAGAAATTTGAATCTACAATGAGAGATCATAAAGAATTAACAAAGACTACCCGATGCTGTAAGAAAAAAGGAAATGAATGAAAAAATGAAGTCAACAGAGAATAATGTATTTCATAAAGATTATTGCTTATTTACAGAAGCAGGGGAGCATAGAGTAGAAATGGAATTTAAGGTTTATCTGCTTAGACACCTGCCTCAGAGCGATGAATATAAATATTCATTCCATCAACCATGCTGAGGACTTGTGAAAAGCTTAGACGCCCATGCCTTCCAGAAGACATATGGATAAATGGTTGTATAGATGAACAGATGCATATATGCAGAAATAAATACAAGAATACATTGATAATAATTATCGAAAGCATGGCATCCTAACAGCTTAAAATATTATAATATATATTGTATCTGATGTAAATTCACAGCCAGGGAAAACCTAATAATAAACTTAGATACTGAACTAGACCCCAAAAGATGGGGTAAGATTCCTTGGTAAACAGAGAACAACAGAGAGGTAAAAATGGTAAGGTCATTTCAAGCTTGTGGTACAACATGAATAAAGTCTAGAAGAGAGGTCAGCATAAATGTTAAGCAGAGAATGAAATAAGAGAGTAAGTCTTAAGTCTCTGAAATAGATATGAACTTATACTTCATTCCACTTTTGAATTAACAACTTAAAAGTCAACAAAGTCTTCATTTTTTTTTTTTTTTTTTTAATTAGACTCTCCTGTCCTTCCCTTACAACCCCTTCCATCTGTTGAGATACAGACTGTCACTATTCTGAGAGTCTGGGATTGTAGGTCATCTCTTCAAGTCAAATGGTACGTATTCCTTTACTTTTCCCATTAGGTATATAAATACATTCCTAATAATATATGGTAAAACTTGGAAACAACCTAGATGTCTACCATTAGAGAAATGGTTTAATAAATTTTGATGCATCTTCACAATGGAGTATGACGTATCTATAAAAAAGAATGAGAAATATTTCTATATATTACTATGGAGTGATCTCCAGAATATACTAAGTCAAAAAGTAAAATTCTAGGTTGAGAAAAGTGTGTATAGTGGGCTACCATTTATCTAAGAATGGAAGGATAAACCATAAGATTCAAATGAAAAGGAGTTTACCTAGAAGGTAAATTTACCTGTGAGGGGAGGGAGAGAACAGACAGTGAGTGCTCAAAGACAGAAGCCAGACTTTTAATACATCTTGGTTTTAAATCTGACTTCTGAACCACAAAAATATTTTACATGTTTACAAACAAAATTGAATTTCAAAAAAGCAATACCTAAAAATTGAAAATAAAATGAAACCATTAAGCCAACCCAGTATTCAGTTGGTAGCTTAACCATATGGAGAAGAACTATCCTATGCAAGCTCAAGCACAGTAATTTTATTCTTACAGTCCTTTTGGGATATATCTCAAAGACACAAACAACTGATGAAAAGAAAAACAAGTTTAAGCTGTTTTTCTAGTAAGGATACTGTTGATAGCAGGGGTAGTATTGTTATTCGGAGAATACTGGGCATTAACTGAGGATATAACACACAAGTTAATTATATGTGTTCTAATTATATCACCTGGGGTATCCAGAGAATGACTATTCTCAGCATGGAAGAAAGAACATACAGATGTACTTCTTGCCTCGGGAAAGGCTTTCAGCAATGACCAACCCATGGAAAAGGAACAGTCCTAGATTCCTGATCATAGTTACAAAAGTATGCTTTTACTAAATGGAACCACGGTCTCTTGGAGAGACAGATGATTCTAGATCTAGAGCAGAAATTGTAGCAGATACACATGGGAAATTGTGTCTAGGGTCACATCAAATAGGGCTACATCTATGAGCTAAATTCTATTTTTGCAAGAAAATTAAAATACAACACTAACTGTTCACTAGTGAAAGACGCTAAGGAACCAAAACAATTAACACTGAAAAATAAACACAGTTTTGAGAAACTTTTTCTTAAAAGAAGTATTCAAGTTAATAAATGAATAAAAGAAGAAATGAAAACATCATCTTGTCAACATTAATAAATGAATGGATCAAGCATTAATTAGCAGTGGCTGCTAATTTCACAAAAAAAGATGATCAGATATTCTGTGTCTCTTGATATATGATCACATATGAAGTAATCCTGATTAAAAAGAAAGAAAGAAAACACACTGAACCTCATAAATCTATAGTCAAACAATGTAAAAGAAACAGAAGAACATGAGGAATTATAGGGGAAGATTCTCTACAACTCAATAATCAGGTTTCTTCAACAAATAAATTTTGAGGGACAAAGAGGGAGAATAACGGTGAGAGAGAGGGAAGGAGGGAGAGATTGAAAGTCTCAAAAGACATATCAACCAACTGCAATGCATAAACCTTATTTGGATCTGGATTCAACCAAATCTGAAAAAAATGAAATTTGTGATACAATTTGAAATTTAAACACTGACTGGATACTGAAAGTTAAGATTTGTTAGCATTTTTTAGGTACAGTAAGGGGAATCTGGGCATATTTTTAAAAACCCCTCTTTCAGAACTACATACTGAAGTATTTATAGATGACAATATATAATTCAGAGATGTGTTTCAAAATAACACAGAATGGAGCACTGTTTGGGGGTACGGAGAGGTGAGGACTAGCCATGGATTAATGAATGTTGGGGCAAGTGGGAAAGTCCTGGAAAGTTCATTACATAATTTTGTTTTGTTTTTGCAGGGTGTGAATTTCTACAAAATAAATAAATACATGGAATTTTTTAGAAGACTTTATTTATTTGACAGAGATACAAGGAGAGAAGGAATATAAGCAGGGAGAGTAGACTCCCACTGAGCAGGGAGCCCAATGTGGGGCTCCATCACAGAACCCTGGGATCATGACCTGAGTCGAAGGCAGAAGCCCAACAACTGAGCCACCCCAAGCGCCCCTAAATACATGTATTTTTTAAAAATGTAAGACACGTTTTGTAGTAACAAGAACACTCAGTACACGGAGCTTGGTTTCTAAATACTATCTGCTACTAAAAGAAACCAGGGCTCCTTGAAGAAATGGATTCCCTCAAGTCAGAGAGAAGAAAAGTACAAAGTGAGCCTGGGAACATCTTATACAAGAAAGCAAAGAAGTAAAAGAATGAAGGCATGTTAAAATGGTATAGGAACCAGCCTGAAGGGCTCCCACGGGTTAAATTTAGACAAATTTTAAAGAAAAACAATAATGATTTATAAAACACTGAAAAAGGTAGCCCTCCGTCCACAGTGATATTCAAAAACAAAAAGAGAAAAGGAAGGGCAATTAACGATTACAGAAAATTGCCAACCATTCAAAACAGAAGGAATAAGAAAATTAGTCACCATTTCTCAAACATGAGTTTAATTACTATTTCAGGCAAGGATCACAAATGTATACTGACACTAGTGAGCAATGGGTTGTTACTGACGATTAGAATATCCGCCCAGTCCTACGGATCACAAATCAGTATTAACTGCACAGAGGGAAAGTTATCTTTGTAACAGGGATATCTGGTGAACATCTCCCTAACCAAGAGGTCAAATTTCCATCACCAATAAAGGGACCGTGTGACTGCATGACCCTCTTCTGATGATGCAGTCAGACATCAACCTTATCTATGCAGTAGTTTGGCCAAAAATGTGTAGCTTGAATCCAGTCATGAGGAACAAAGTCAGAAATTTGATCTCCACCCTTCAAAATATTAAAGAAAAAGCAGGGGATGTGATCTAAATTCAAGGAAACCAGAAAGATACGAACTCAAATGCAACATCAGACCCCTATTTGAATTCCAGATGGGGTTGGAGAAGATGGAAGCTATACACGACAATATTGTGGCAATTGGGAACATTTTAATAGACCATATGTAAAATATAATTATTGTTTTGGTGTTCAATTTCTTAAGTATTATAGCAATGTTCGTATGTCTTTGCTAAGCTTAAAAAAAGAAAAAATAGAAAAAGTTGGGAGGGCGTGCCTGGCTGGCTCAGTGGGTAGACCATGGGACTCCAGCAGGTCATGAGTTCAAACACCACATTGGGCATAAGGCTTACTTTAAAAAAAAAAAAAGTGAGTGGTGCCTGGGTGACTCAGTTGGTTGAGCACCCAACTTTTGGTTTCAGCTGTCATGATTTCAGGACTGGGAATTGGAGCCCCACCCGCGGCTCTGAGCTCAGCAGGGAATCTGCTTGAGTTTCTCTCTCCTCCCTCTCCCTCTGCCTTCCCTCCCACACTCTAATAAATCAATCAGTCTTTTTAAAAAAGTGAGTACGTAGCTGTTAAATCAATCAGTCTTTTTAAAAAAGTGAGTACATAGCTGATAACACAACATATAAACAGATAGATGCAGAAGGAGAAAAGCAAAGGTTGTAAAGTGTTCATTGTTAAATGGGTCTACATGACCCCTGCAGGGGTGTCTGCTGTACTCTTCTTCCAGCTTCTCTGTGGATCTGAAATTTCCAAAATAAAAAGCTGATGAGTGAAATCTGAATAGTGTACTACGTACAGATAACGGAGCATCACAGTCTTTGCTCTTCTGGGCCTTCTCCTTGGAGCTCTCTTTCTGATTGACGGCTTGCTCTGCAAACGATACATCCAGGTTGATATTGGTTTCAGAGGCAGGTGCCTCTTCAGGAACCAGGGGAATCAGCTCTTTTTCACCCACAACTAGGCTAGATGCCTGGTCTGGGAAAACAAAAAACAAAAAACAAAAACAAAAAGGTTCAATTAATATATTTTCTTTATTTCTTTTTTTACTTCTTTACTTCTTTAAATCAACTACATAAAAACCTTTGGGGAAAATATTATTTACTATGGTCAATAATTAATGGTTATTTTAAAGGCAAACATTTACTCCAAGAATCCTAGCAATGGTGGATGGAGGGTTTCGAAGGGAAGGTGGAGACCAGAAGCCATAGTTCAATTGTGGAATCTGTGAGGTCACAGTGCTTAGACTGGGTCGAAGTCCAACATGGGTAGATGATCTCAAACTCTGAATGAGAAGCCTCACAAGAATTTTGTAGACTTAATTGTTGTTTTATTTTACAATGGGAGATTAAAAGCAAAAGCAAAAAAAAAAAAAAAAAAGGTGGGAGGAGGGGAGTTCAAAGAAGTTAGTTTTACTCTCTCTTAGAACTAGTGATACACCATTTCATTTTCTCACAGGGAAATACATTACTGGAATAGACTTCTTCCACACCTGGTGTTTCTTTTCTGGAATGTAATTTACATCTCAGAGAAAGAATTCCAAAATAAGAGTTAGTGCCAAACACTTGCCACAGAGGGAGTCAGGTCTGGAAGTACCTGGTACAGGAACCAATAGGTTTTGTACCCAATTATATCAAAGACTATTGAGGTTCTCACAACTATAAACCTAGTCAAATAAATTCTGGATATTTACATCAACATTTCAAGGGTATATAATAAGTTCAACATTTTTTGTCTGTTGTTAATCTTCTAGGAAAGAATTAACACTGGAAATCCTTGTTGCCCAAAACATTAGCTTTAGAACTTTGGAGAAAATAGTTCTAATGGACACAATTTGTTAATAAGTTTTTGGTTTAAACATAACTCACATTAGAAAAACCCTGGAACGAATGACAGGATTACAGGTTTTTGTTTTTGTTTTTTTTTCTCATTGCAGACTTTTAATTCATGGTGAGCAGCTCTGAATTACAAAATAAACTTACATAGTGCACTTACACACTTCTACACTAACACAGCAAGGTGCTAGAAGGTAAAGTTAATTTAAAAATTCAATAAAGGCATGCCGTGTGTGTGTGTGTGTGTGTGTGTGTGTGTGTTATTAACACTGCTTCCTTCAGAAAAATCTGTTTATAGTCATTTAAATTTGAAAAATATGTTTCTGTTTCACCCAGTAGAAAATTAGGAATAAACATAACTCTAGCCTCATTAATTCTGTTTGATAAGCAGGGCAGGCTTATGGGCATGTGACTTGTGCAGTCTCAGGCCTCAACCCTCCTGGGTTTAACACTCTGCTGTTGCCACCTTGGAATCTGAGCAAGAAGTCCCACATTTTCAGTTTGCACTGGGCCCTGCAGACTACCTCAGTGGCCTGGTAGCATCTCCCAGTTAAGAGTAAGTAAACACAAACCAATGTCAATTCCAAAAATAAGAATAAATGTGATGCTCCTTGATGGTAGTTACCAACTGCTGCCATCTTTGGCACATTTGTATATTATTTATGTTGCTATTCCAATAGCCTGTGACATTTCTTTTAATTAGAATAACTAAACCGTTTTACAATTAATTTTTAAAGTATTAACTTAAATGTCAAAGCACAATTTTAGTTTTCCTTCTCCACCGGCTTCCACTGCTGTATGTTTTACTGTGAATATGTATGTTGGTTTCCTAGGAAACCAGTCTGAGAGGGGAAAAAAATGATTAGCCATTTTCTTAAATTAGAAGCTACCTTTCCAGAAGTAGTGTGTTTATGGACAAGAATTTTAAAACTACTCTTTTTTCTCCCTCAATACTGCCATATCACCACTGCTCCACATAGAAAATATCCTGTGTGGGTTGCTGGAGGGGAGGGGTAAAGGGGTGGGTCACTGGGTGATGAACATTGGGGATGGTATGTGCTGTAATGAGGACTGGATGTCATAGAAGACTGATGAATCACAGACCTGTAACCCTGTTAAAAAAAAAAAGAAAAGAAATGCCTTGTGCTAATTTCAAAGCTGAGTAGAGAAATTATAATTAAGGTAAAATATATTTACAATATATGAATTTCCTCCCAACTGTGGCAAAAATTTAAAACAAAAATCAAAAAACCTAGAGTATAAAAGCCTGAGTTCAAATGGTAGATCAAGTAAAGGTAGACAGTAGGAAAAATAGTTTGTTTGTAGGCACTGCTGCAAGAAACAGATGGTGAATTGACTAATAAAAATATTTATGAATCAATGATCTACTCTCATAGAGAAAAGTTAACAGAGAATTCTGACATAAACCTTTCGACTCTTAAAGTCCTAAAGTGTAAATAGTATAATTTCTTTATTCTCCTTTGGTTTTGAAGTGAACAATAGCCCTGGGTTAGAAATATTTTACACAACTCCTTAGAGTTTTTCAACTGTTCAAAATATTCCAAAGTGCCTTTATTTTTATTTTTTTTTTTAGTGCCTTTATTTTTAAAAAGAATTAACCCTCTTTCACTGAAATCAAGAGAAAATAAGTAAATATACATACTAAGATGAAAATTTGAAAAATTATTTGGGCATTATTAATGTTTCTAAGTGTATGTATAAAAACGGTGGGCCATTTGCATAGAGTTTTATAATTTAAAGAAAAGAATAGTACATAGCCAATTAATTAATTTGAAATGGGACAACCCTTACAACATTAAGACTTCTGTGACTTTTTCATTTAGAATCAATCTCTTTCATTGAACATATATAAAAACCCAAGTGTAGGAAAACATTTAAAATGGACAAGGTCACCCACACCTTCCGATTTCAAACACGAAGAGCTCCACTTTTGAGCTCCAGACAATGTGTTTCCATGCCCTTCGTTCTGAACCTTTCACTGTGTACATGGCACTGGCTATTTTGCTGACCATGGAAAGACTATGGCCTACAACAGGTGAAGTGGTAAAACCTCAGTGACTCAGATCTCTTATGACTCTGATCAGAGACTTATGCCTCATAGCACTCTGGCTAAAGCAGATGTAAATCAAGCAAGTTTGTCGTGTTCTCCTCAGTGGCTGCAAGCGACACTTCAAAGTACTCCTATAATGAACTTGTCTTCCAGAATTTTGGGGTATAGAGCCTATATCCCCACCTTGCCCAAAAGAGGGAAACATCAAAAAAGGACAATGCTTTCCCCAGTATTCATTTACCAATTGCCAGGCACTCTTCCCCAAAGCATACTGCCATTGGCACACAAAGGTCGTGCATCTCTCTCGATTACCTAGCTTCCAGCAGGCCAGCACTGACCCTTCTAGCTGGCTTGCCACTTCAGTGTTTGCTGGCTCACAGACTTGGAGAAACACCCAGCAATTTCATTCTGATAGAAATGTAATATATACGTATATATAATATTATATCTATAATACATATTATAGATATATAAATTTACATGTGTATATATATAATACATACAACTAAAGAAACCTCCACATAATAGCAAGTGCTTTTAAAGACAGAAACACATAGCCATGTCTGTGTCCATACACATAAACGCACACAATTATTTACTTATTTCTAAAGGCAAGGGTACAGGAGAGAAGTTCTGAGAAAAGCATGGTAGGAAAAATAGAGATACTGATATTACAAGACTCCAAGACATCCCATGTAATCTTGGACTAACCCGATTGTGAGGAGAAGGCAGGAAACACTTCCCAGTCCTCCATGGTCTGCCTGACACTCCTCCCCTACTACCTCTAATCCCAATACAACACTATGAATGGTGTGGGCACTCCAGGTGCCAGGTCTGAAGATCATAAACAAAACAAAAGGACAAGTCCCCGAGCCAGCATCTGGCAATCACAGACCTCCTCTGTTAACAGTTTTTAAATAACACAGTATACAGATTATATTTTTAAGCTTCATTTGGAATAGTTTTTTCTTTTTGCAAATAAGGGAGAAAGCTACAAATTGTTTCTTAAGTGCTAATGAAGTCTTAATACTTGTTTTCACCCATGCCATGAATTTCTAATTCGTTTCAGAAATAACAGGTATGATAAAAGAAAAAGTATGATAAGAATGATAAGGAATTGCTCCCAAAATTATTTTTTAAGTTTTTATAAACTTTCTAAAAAGGAATCCACTTATGAATTAAGAACTTATCGATTTCAGAATGAAACTCCAAATTCTTTGGCTCCACTCCGTAGCTGTATGGCCTTGGGAAGTGCACTTAATATCTCTAAACCTCCATATCCTCATCTGTAAAATGGGTTCAGAACAGTATCTACTATGTGGAGTTCTTGAGTAAATTAAGTTAGGTAAAATAAACATCTTCACAAAGTACCTGGCACATGGTAAACAGTTGGGAAAACTGATTATGCATAGAGATGTTTATACAGAGATTCACAAACATTTAAAAAAAAATTCAAAGGCCCACTATATTTCCAGCCTTATGTAATTATCTATTAGCATTTTAATAAAATTTGCTTCCTAGAATCCAAGGTGAATGTTTTAAAAGGTTGTATCTGCTTGTTATGCTAATAAACAGGAAAATATAAGAGAACAGGTCCAACATACCATCTTTTCCTTGATATTTATTTTCATTTGTTCTGACTGACTGTGAGTCGATGCCATCTGGAACCTAAAGATAGAAAGTGGGCCAGTGAGTCATCTCCAACTCACAACCAGAGAAATGGTATTGTACATAATTCCATTACCAACCTTCAGAGTATAAGAGAAACACTCAGAATTGTAACCACCACAGGGAAAAAAAAGAAAAAAAAAGTACTGTATTTATAATCAACAAGCAATCATCCAACAAATATTAGGTTGCCCCCAATTTGTAAAGACACAATACTAATCCCTGTAAGGAACATGAAAAACACTAAGAGTCTTTGCCATGGGTGTGTCTGAGTGGCTCAGTGGGTTAACTGGCTGACTCTTGATTTCAGCTCACGTCATATCTCAGGGTCCTGGGGTCAAGCCCAACCTCAGGCTGTCAGGCTCTGTGCTCATTGGGGATTCTCACTCTCCCTCCGCCCCTCTCCCCACACTCTAATAAATAAGTCTTTAAAAAAAAAAAATGTCCTTGCCATCAAGCACACCACTATTTAGTTGAGTGGTAACGACAAACTTAAAAAAACTGGTAATATCTAGTAACAGAGTAGATAAAGAAACTGTGGTCTATCCATACAATGAAATACTATTCAGCAATAAAAAGAACTGAAGTACATACAAACTGTAATGTGGATGAACCTTGAAAACACTAGACTAAGTAAAAGGAACCAATCACAAGACAGGATTCCTCATCTACAGAATGCCCAGGATAAGCTACTGAGATAGAGATACAAAGTAGACTAGTGGTTGCTTAGGGGTGAGGAGGGGAATACAGGAATGACTGCTAATGGGTTTCTTTGGGGAAAAATGAAAAAGTGCTAAAACTGACTGAGGTGATGGTTATAAATCTGTGAATACACTAAAAATCGCTGAACAATAGATTTTAAATGGGTGAATTAGATGGTATTTGGATTATAGTTTGATAATGCTGTTATAAAACAAAATTACAAGTTGACATGTAGGAAATAAAATCAAAATTCTTCAAATTAAAAAAAAAAAAAAAAGCCAGTAATAAATGTGAGCTAAATTAAAACTAAATTACCAAGCAGGTAATATGAGCTCAGATAGTCAAAGAAACTCTTTTTAGAAGGGGTTGGGGCAGTGACACCTGAAAATAAAATTGTAGACCTCCAAGGGTTTATAGACACAGGAGCACATGGCTGGCTCCCCTCACCAGGAAGTGCGGCCAGGTAATACTTCCTCCTTCCAAATAAGTCTTCAGAAGGACTTCAGGAATCAGGAAGGGCAGTCTAGTTCAATCATACACAGAGGTGAGTTTGAAAGAATTATTTTTTAAATAATCACTCTATTGGATTTTCATCTCTAGTCAAATGAAGTGTTTGAAAGGATGACAAAAGCCTTCATTTCACATCATGCCGTTGACCAGGAAGGACTCTCCCCTTCACCGGCAGCCTACGAAGAGTCTAGAAAAGCATGAGCCCACTGGTACAGCTTGTAGAGGACAGTGTATAGTGACTACTCAATCACAAAACTGGCATGAGGGTCGTGATACTACTTCAGCTCCCCTCAAGACAGAGCAAATACCATCCTCCTCTCTCTGCCCACAAGCCTGCGGAAGGCCAGCCCTCCACAGCACAATGAACACAGTGAGCAGAGCTAATCTTCCATACGAACACGTATTTTGGAGCATGTGGTCAGAACTGTTTTCCTTAGCAAGTGAAGATACCAGTGCCGACGGTATTCATTTCTGTATAATATTTCCTCACGTCAGCAAGGACTTCGTGAGGAAGCATTTTAAAATGGAAGAGCCAAATTTGTACTTCTTTGAGAACAGAAGAACTGCAAGTGAAGATGTTTGGCCCCTGTTTCCTTGAGGAATGGGAGACGTATTTCTAATGGGTGGCAGTGTTCTGATTAAAGGCATGCAGTGTACGCAAATTAACGTGATTTTAATTTACTTGTGCCGTTTCTCTCTTAATGGTGCCATCAGATGATACAATCCGCCCATTACCTAGGAATCAAACCATGTGGCTTAGATATTACCGAGAATTTGCTGAAAACTGCTGCTTCTAGCCGTGAGTAGCAACATCCTCTTGGAGACTGGCAGGAATCCCACAGCAGACATTTTACTTAGACTCAGTTCTCTCCTCCTCCCCCTCTTTACTTCCTCTTAACTCCCTTAGGGAGGGTTCTTTAATTGGTAAGGAAATGTCATAATACTGTATTTCCTTACCATTCATTTTCCTACATCTGGAAACCTAGTCCAGTCCTTCAACCCCAGTGACTGTCCCAAATAACCACTGGGTGGTATGCAAGTGTTTAACTGCCTCACAGCAGCGAGAGACCTGCCTCGAGCAATCCAGTGACCCCAAAACTCCTATCAAATAGACTGGAGTTGATCCAAAATTGCCCATGCAAACAGAGTAGCAATCTGAAGCCATTAAGGATTTCTCCGAAGAATAAAATGTTTACAGAAAGAAAACCTCTACATGGCAAAAAGATACTTTAAATACAAGGTATTTTTTTTTTTAAGAATCATATGATTTTTGGTACCCTTCATTTGTAGTATAAATAGGATATCCTGTCCAGATAACTTAATATCAGAATCATATAGGGAAACACAAATACAATAGGACACGCAATGGTTAAAGGCGCCTACTTCAAAGTCACACAGATTTGGGTTTACTGTCTACGGAACATTGAGCAAGTTACTTAAAGTCTATGAGCCTCAGCCGTAGACTGGAAATGGTAATACCTCACTCGCAGGACAGCTGTAAGGATTAAATGAAATAAGCAAGCAAAGTAGTTAGCACAGTAAGTGTTCAGTTGTGGTGGCAGGAATTAGTACTACTATTGTCACCATTCAAGATTCCTTTTGTTTGTTCTCATTCCAAAACCCTCCTGGGTCTTCTAGGCCAGGACTATTCAGTACACCTGAGAATAATCCAGAATGTAAATCCAATTTAACCCTAAGAATACCATTTAATTCAGCATTTTTTTTTTTAGAAGCAAGATTTTCCTGAAAAAGGAAGAGATGATATTAATTTACATTTTGTGTAAGCTCCTTGCATCCTCATAGACGAGTACAAAACAGCCCGCCAAGGGGTTGTTCTTAGCAACCGAGGTCTCTCACTTTCACCAAGCCTGCCCTGTTATCTCTTCATCCATCAGCCCCACAGTCTCCCCACCGATTCCAACAGCTTCCATTATAAATTAATCATCTTGACAAATATTTACTCAAATCTCCTACATGCTAGGCACTGTGTTAAGGACTCGACACAAAGGGGAAGTTATTTCATATTTCAGGGTTCCTGCTTTCTAATTATACTGCAGTTAGCTCCCTCACCAACCACCCCCCCACACACACACATACACATGCACACATACTTCAGTTCATCCCCAAATAAGTCTCAGGAAAGGCAAATATTCAAACAGGAGTTAATAACTAAGGAAGAATCCCTTACCTCCTACTTTTCTGTAAGTAACAGTCAGTAGTCAAGACAACTAACACAAGTATTATCACACTGAATTTTAACTTGTTTAATTTTCTGCCCCAACAGTGTAACTTCTAGAAGACAGGGACTAGGTCTCTCTCGACTCCTGCCAGCACGGAGCTTTAGTGCCTGGTATATGAGTGCTCATTAAGTTTTTAATTATCTGAATTAAACCGGATTGGTCCAACCGGTTCAAAGCATTTATTCCTTTGCTTTAACATCAAAAAACAAAACAAAACAAAACAAAACAAAAACAACAAAAAAACACCTACTTTTTCTTTTGACTCTCTCTGTTGAGCAAATATGTCTCTGACGTCAGGAATCTGGTACTGTTTGTTTTTTTTCCTCAAGGTCTGGGAGACTGTCTCTACTCGTTTCTGAACAGCAGCTGCTTGGGTCCGGGTCAGTGTTGACAAAAACACCATGCTTTCTTGGGAATCTCCAGAAGACTCTCCGAAGAGATTGGACAAACCAGCCTCCTTAAGCCACTCTTCTTCCAGTTCTCCCTCTAAAGGCAGTAGAGGAAAATGGGGTTTAAAAATCACAAGATATGAAAACTTTCACATTTTTTAAGCTTTCCAAACATGCTTGCTGACTCTTCTACTGAAGTGGAAATGCAGTGCTAAGAATCATTATCTGAAACTTGGACAACAGCCATCAACTCCAGCCACAAAGATATCAAATTTTAGATCCATTTCGTGTATACTCAATTAAAAGTTTTAAATGACTTCACATGTGATTAACCTCTATAACATCCCTGCAGATTAACTAGGGCAAGACAGTACTGCTCCCTTTCTAGAGATGAGCAAGCAATGAAAAGATGACTTACTTCCATCAAGTTACAGAAGGAAGTCAATGCTGGAGATATCCATTAAAGCCCTGTTTCTTGGCTTAAATTCAGCACTGCCCTAGAGTCCAACAGTAATTGATGGAAAGGTCTGTTTTTTCTGTTCACTGTAGCTGACATGGACTATTGCAAAGAAGTAAAGAGCATCTAGACATCAGGAACTAATCAATTTCAAATTAAGTTTTTAATGCCCATAGTAAGCACATCAGATTCACATTTTTTACAAATTAAAAAAGAAAAGCACACTATTTTAAATAAAAAAATATAGCTTATTATAGGAAACTAATTACATAATAATTCAAAACACTGAAAGCAGAAAGTAAACAGTAAAGCAAATATTGTATAAGATCTATGAAAATTACAGAAAAACAGAAAGATAACAAGAATAGATTCCCTCCAAGCACTAAGTTTATAGAGGAAAGTGAAACACCGATGACCTGAGACCTCAAAGACCTTCATCTACACACCACTTCTCCACGTTGATAGCCACGTGACTTTGGAAAGTCACTCAGCCTCAAACCTACTCTGTTTTCCCATCTGCAACATAAAGAATAACTGTCCTGGCTGCCGCGTAACCTTGAACGAGAGAACGTTCCATGGGAAGAGCTTTGCGGAGCTCTATTACAGCCTGTGTATCCTTCCACATTGTATAAACTCCTTGAGGGCAGAAGTCTAGTATATCCTCAGTTTTAAGAAACATAAGGTAGTGCCAGGCCTTCTGCATGCTGGGTAATAAAAGCTGTTTATGGACAATAAAAAGCCAGCCATTACTATGAATACGATTAAGGTAGAATGCCGTATACATGTATGAAAACAACCGGCTGGGGCGGGGGGGAGAAAAAAAGCAGATATTGACATGCTAGGTAAAGAAAACAAGATCTAAATACAGAGTCACTTGACCCATTAAAAAGTAGAGGTAAAACTCAAACCATTTAAAGTCAAACAAAAGGCATGGGCCTTCTTTATAATCACATTATGAACAATCTATAAATTCATTTTATTCTTGGAAAATTACGAAATAGATAATGACACATGGTTATGTATCAGACCTGAATGCTATTTTCTGGGGAATATTTTCTCCTTATTCAGCAGACCATAGCTACACTGTTTCCATCCTAAAACTCTGAGACAGAGCATTTGGGCCATGTACTGATTATCACAAGTAAGCTCAACTTTACTGGAAAATTAGAAAGACTGAGAGTAAAATAAAGAAGAACACAAACAAAAGAATGATTTGACTATAATTTTATAAATCTGAGAGACATTAAATTATCTTGATAAAGTCCCAAAAGTTCATTTTCGCTTTTGTGTCAGAAACAACCCATGGAATGGGAGAAGATATTTGCGAATGATGCTACAGACAAAGGGCTGATATCCAAGATCTATACAGAATTCCTCAAACTCACACCCAAAAAACAGATAATCACATCAAAAAATGGGCAGAAGACATGAGCAGACACTTCTCCAAAGAAGACATGCAAATGGCTAACAGACACATGAAAAAATGTTCATCATCACTAACTACCAGGGAGATTCAAATCAAAACCACATAGAGATACCACCTTACGCCAGTTAGAATGGCCAAAATTAATAAGACAAGAAACAACAAGTGTTGGAGAGGATGTGGAGAAAGGGGAACCCTCTTATACTGTTGGTGGGAATGCAAGTTGGTGCAGCCACTTTGGAAAACAGTGTGGAGATTCCTTAAGAAATTCAAAATAGAGCTACCCTATGACCCTGCTATTGTACTACTGGGTATTTACCTCAAACATACAGATGCAGTGAAAAGAAAGGCCATATGTACCCCAATGTTCATAGCAGCAATGGCCACAATTGCCAAACTGTGGAAAGAGCCAAGATGCCCTTCAACAGACAATGGATAGAAAAGATATGGTTCATATATACAAGGGAATATTATGCCTCCATCAGAAAAGATGAATACCCAACTTTTGTATCAACATGGACGGGTCTGGAGATTATGCTGAGTGAAATAAATCAAGCAGAGAAAGTCAATTATCATACGGTTTCACTTATTTGTGGAGCATAAGGAATAACATGGAGGACATTAGGAGAAGGAAAGGAAAAGTGAATTGGGGGAAATCAGAGGGGGAGATGAACCATGAGAGACGGTGGACTCCGAGAAACAAACTAAGGGTTTTGGAAGGGAGGGAGGTGAGGAGATGGGTGACCATGGTAGTGGGTATTAAGGAGGGCACGGATTGCACAGAGCACTGAGTGTGCTGCATAAACAATAAATCTTGGAACACTGAAAAATGAAATAAAATTGAGAAAAAAAAAGAAATATTAAATTAATAAACATCTCCAATTTTTCTTTTTAAAGTATTATTGGTATTTTTTTCAAAGAAATGTCACAGCAAGGGGAAAAAAATCTATGTATGTAGATTCTCTTTAACAGCCCAGTGCTAGGTCATTTACATAAGAAGTCCTCTGCTAAAAAGGAGATCAGTATTAGAGGGTTAATAGGCACTGATCTTTTTTTTTTTTTGGCATGCTGATCAACTGACACCCCAAAAACATACTTACAAACATATGGGTGGCACAAGGCAGAGAAAGAAAGATAAAATTGGATGCCTAGTTGGCTCAGTCAGTAGAGCAGGCAACCCTTGATCTCAGGGTCGTGAGTTCAAGCCCCATGCCGAGCATGGAGCCTACTTAAAATAAAAATTAAAAAAAAAATTTTTTTTTTTTAAAGAAAGCTAATATAATAGATGCCAGAATTGGTCATCAAAAATTTAGTGACTGCTTGAATTTACGAGATTGAAAAAAAAAGTATAAATTTTAAGGGGAAAAAATGTTTTATATGTTTCTTCTATAATACCAAATATAGTAACAGAGATTGTAGGAAATATAGCTAGAAGGAAACTGGAGACAAATTATGGACCAAACAAAAGAAAAAAGCAAATATGGAGGCTGAAAATGCTAATGGCATACACTGTCCAAATCTATACCCACAGGCTAGCTGGCTAAACCTGCAGCATTATATCCAGTCAGGGGTACAAAATGACCAGGGCTGAGAAAGGTCCAAAAACCACCAGAGGGACTGGTCGGCAAATCTTCTTTTCCTTCTGGAAGGACATGGTGAGGAACACGATAAGCATCTTCAAACATTTGAAAGGTTATCCCATAAAAACAGAACAGGCTAGTTCTGATCTTCCAAAAGCCAAAATGTCCAAGGTAGAGGATGACAGATTGTGAATCAATGAGATAAAGTACATCAAGACAACTCAAGCTGACTGACCAACGGAAAAACAGCATCACTGCAAAGTAGTGAGCTTTCCAGTCACATTTATACTCACTAGAGAACAATCGACCTTGTGGCTACAATACCACAGAATGAAGGTTAGATCACTTCAAAGACCAAGTGGAATCCTAGGGGGGTCTATGAAACGGTAAGTCTAGCCAACAAGATTCTAGCCATCTCTCAGACCAAGTGAATTTATTTACTCATGCTACATAAACGTGGCCGCTGCATCCATAGATCTATTGCAAACAAGTAATTTTCAAGCTGAAACAACTAGCATTATCTTATTTTGGTTGTCCTATCTTTAATTTTTGTTGAGTCTGCCGTCCTCTTTATCCCCATGTATCAGCTCCCAAAAACATGCACACAAACATAAGTTTTATTTAGTTATTACCATCAGGTTCTTTGACAACGACCACTTCTTGAGCTTGTCTGTTCTCACTTGATTTCTCAATATTTTCTATTTCCATCCAATAGGGCTCCATAGATAGTTCATCCAAAGAATCCTGAGAGCTTGATCGATCAAATGGCGGTTTTTCGGGAACTTTGGTGATTTCCTGGTTCATGGTGTACTGACCATATTTGCGGCTATAAATTCAAAAGGAGACATGGTTCATTTTAATATATGAGGAAGTGGTACAAATTCTAAGACATCAGAGTACTGACTGAACAATTTGGAAACTCCATAACTTCTCCTTAATAAAACCAAAGAGATATGTATTTTGAAGCTATTTACCTAGAGATACCAGTAATTATAATATGCCTGCGGAATGAACAAAAATTTTCACTGGCCAAAAAAAAAAAAAGGCAGTGTGATTAACCATTTCATGTAAATTATTTTAAGATTTCTTTAAACCTATAACTGTTCTTAGAAAGCAACAGGTTAAATCTTGATTAGAGGCCATTAGTTAATTGAGATTTTTTTAATACAGCATTTCATAGTTGTCATTTATGTCTACAAACAAAACTCAGTGAGCCCTTATAGAACAAATATCTGCAATCAGTAAATTAAATACTATTTGAATTTCTTTTTATTTTTGGAACCAAAACATAAATAGGAGAATGTCACATTACATTTGCTGTTACATCCTACTATAGAAAGCAACTCTTAACCTTTATTTTAAAATGTGCTCATTGCTGGTATGTATTTTAAAATATGGCAAAACGTTATCGGGAAAAAACATTTAAGGCAATTCTGAATAAATAGCTGGGAATTACCTCTTAAATACCGATCTTAAATACTATCTGTGAAGGAAAGGATAAATTAAGTGAAAGTATTTTTATGACTTGAAGTTAACTATATTTTTTATAAGTCACATCCCAAATACTAAAGTGAATTAAAAGATGCTATAATAAATAAGCTTATATATATATATATATATGTGTGTGTGTGTGTGTGTGTGTGTGTATGTGTGTGTATATATATATATATATACATATATATATATACACATATATATATAGAATCCCATATACAATAGAAATACTAAATTTTTGTTCTAATCTTTTTTTATATTGAGATGGGGAGCCTATTCAAAAAAAGAAAATTTTGAGTATGGCACTTCCTCTTTGTATTCAATTTTTTTTGAAGATTTTATTTATTTATTTGACAGACGGAGATCACAAGTAGGCAGAGAAGCAGGCAGAGAGAGAGGAGGAAGGAGGCTCCCTGCTGAGCACAGAGCCTGATGTGGGGCTTGATCCCAGGACCCTGGGATCATAACCTGAGCGAGCCGAAGGCAGAGGCCTTAATCCACTGAGCCACACAGGCACCCCCCCCCCCGCCTTTTTTTTAATATAATTTGAAAGGCATCTGGGTGGCTCAGTTAGTTAAGCATCTGCCTTTAGTTCAGGTCATGATCCCAGGGTCCTGAGACTAAGGCCCATATTGGGCTCCCTGCTCACCAGGGAAGTCTCCTCCCTCTCTCTCTGCCCTCCCTGCTCATGTTCTCTCCCTCTCAAATATATAAATATTTTTTTAAAAGAAAATATAATTTGAGTGGGGACAATAATCAGGGAACTAGAGTTTTGTTATTCTAATTTCAAATTGCTCTTCTATTTCCCAGGAGGATGTTAGGAAATAATACTCTGCTACTACACATATGAAAATAAAAAATATCATAAAACAACATTCTTTAATACTATGTGAATATTTTCCACATTTAAACTGGCCTTTCCCATAATTATTTAAAACAGAAGGATTTAATACTACATAACAGAGAGGGTCACTAAACTTTGGTCATTTCTACCTGTTTAATTCCAACTGGTTTCTTAGAAAAAGTCAAAACACTTGCTTGTTGCTACAAATAAATACAATATAACTGACTACTGAACTGTAATATGCTAACAGGCCAGTTTTGTTCCTTTGAAGATGGTTCTCTCTGCCTTACTTATGGACTTTAATAATGCAGGTTGCATGAGTGAACAATCGCTCTATCTCCCTAGTAGCAAGTCTGGGGTGGTGATGGGTTGGTGTAAGGAGTAGGGCCAGCAGGAGGAAGTCTAAACATATTAGTGTGTTTCTCTTTTCTTCAGTCTCCATTGTCCATTGTTTGCCTCCCCCATCCCTTAATTCAAGGGACACTTCCTCCCTCCCTACCCAAACCATCCTGTTTACATCCCTGTATCCCATCCTGGTCCTTTGGCCTTGCCCCACTGGCCACCCCTTCAGCGTTGTCATTTTAGTGACTCTTAAATTAGACTCTTAATTTATCAGACTTAATAAATTAGACTCTTAAATTTAGACTCTTAAATTAAAATGTGAATGTGAAAGCTATCTCTCTCTTAAAAACAAAAACTTCAGGGGTGCCTGGGTGGCTCAGTGAGTTAAAGCCTCTGCCTTCAGCTCAGGTCATGATCTCAGGGTTCTGGGATCGAGCCCCGCTTCGGGCTCTCTGCTCAGCAGTGAGCCTGCTTCCTCCTCTCTCTCTCTGCCTGCCTCTCTGCCTACTTGTGATCTCTGTCTGATAAATAAATAAAATCTTTAAAAAAAAAACTTAAAAAAAAAAGAACATGAATTTTATTTTTATTCCTGTGATCAGCAGCTCAACCTATCCACACATTCTATTCCTTAATCCTGCTTTACCAGGATCATTAAACTAATTGACAGAATGTCTACCAGATTCATTTTTGGTTTATTTCATGTCAAATATGTAGATGCCCCATCCTTGTTTTTGTCTTCTCTCCCATTATAAGACTGTGGTCAACCTAATTCCTATCCCCTGCAACCCTTAATTCCATGGGAGACCACAATAAATACTGTGGCATGTGTGAAGTGCAATGACCAATGCCAAATAATTTGGTTTATCTGCTCACAGAAAAGAGGTGCAGTTGAACTAAAAGTACATTAAGCTTCTCACTTCTGAAGGAATGTGTTTATTCTGGCAAGAATTTTCCAGTAAATTTCCATTAAGATAGCATGTGCGGAAAAACGCAAGGGCATTGAGCAACAACATTGTTACGTAAATATACCTTCTATATCAAGCCCTGCTTTCAAAACAGGCAGAAAGCAAAAACCTAATCGCCTAGTGCTAATGAATAGACTCAATATTTTTACTTTAGTAAGATTCAAAGCTGAATAGGTTTTTTTATAATAACCTGATGATACAGAGTCATGGAATGGAGGATTTTTTTTTTTCTTTTTTGGATCATTGGTAAATGTTGGAAGAAAATGTTTTCTTTTTTAAACATTAGAGTATGGGGAGGAGAGAGGAGGCAAGCATTCAGTGGTAGACTGCCCTCCTTAGCGTGCCATAGATGTTACATTTTCTCTAAAAATGTAGCTGAACGTTTTAAAATTACAGTTTACATCAATAAACCGGTTGTGTCACTTCTTTTCTTAGAATGCACTCTACTTTTTTGAACTCCAGACAGGCAATGGCTAAAAGTGTGGCCCTTCTTAAAACTGTCCTGATTTCAAGCCCGTTAACTCATTCCTTTCTTCTGTTTCTAGGACTACGTTATCTGATACCCCATTCATTCTCCAAACTGGGTTCAAGATCATAAAGTAACATCTGCTAGACATAATGAAGTGCAGAGCAGAAATATTTTTACATTTCCAAAAGACCCAAGCCAACACGTGGTGCTGAAATCAAAGAAACACGCAGTTTGTACCACAGGCAACTACCAATTACCCTCTCCCGACTTACTGGCAAACAACTGTCCTATGTTAGTCTTCCTTACTTGCCCTCCAGAATCCCACGTGCCAATCATCCTACAACCACTCTTCAGAGACTCTCACATTTCTCACCTTTGACAGCTCTAACCATAGAACTAGACACCGTCTTCTGAAAGAAGTGACTTCCAGCAGGCTGCAGACTCGTGCCCCGTGCTGCGAGCATTCCCACAAGTCACAGTATTTTCGCCATGTATTTCCTTCCTGGGTACTATCATTATTAGCTAACTGACACTTACGGGCCTGCGCGGAATGAATGTCCCTTCTTTTTCCTCTTGTTCGCATGTTCTTACACTGGGTTTATAAAAAGTGGGGTTTTGTTCTATTTTCCTGAGGTATATTTTTCTGTGATATTTTTTTTTCCCCCGGTCAGTGAATTTCAAACATAGCGCTACTATTCCTGCCTCTTTTTTATTTTGTCATAGAGAATGTTAAATTGGTCTGACGTGGTTTGTTCTTTTCGGGGAGGTAGACAGTGCCATCCATTAGACTGTGGTCTGCTGGAAAAAAAAACAAGCTGATTGATGATTAATCCTAGGACCAATGCAGGGAAATGACATGCAGTTCTATGGGGCTGGGAGTCTTAAGTACCAATGACTCAGGTTCTATTTAACTATCTCTATGATTTTGGAAAATCATGTGACTTCTCTAACCCAGACTTTTCCTACCCATAGAATGGGAAGAACACCAGTAGCCTTGACTGCTGTGTGTCGTGAGTTACCGAGTGAGAATTCCTCCCGAAACGCCTCCTGGGTAACCATGAAGGGGGCTTGCAACCTAGTACCACTGTTAACATGTAAAACCGCTAACTATAAATAACCACCCCTCCCATAGTTTAATAAGGTCACCTTTGCCCTCTTCTAAGGTTCAGAAAAATTACTTAACCTTTAGGACAGACATTCTTGAACAGTCCTGGTCTCAGGACTCTTTTATACACTTAAATATTTTTGAGGACCTCCGAGGAGCTTTTGTTTTTATAAGTTATGTCTAATGAGGTGTACACTATTAGCTATTAAAGTTGGAAAGAATAAGTAAAATACTAATTCATTTAATGAGAATAATCAACATCTTAACATAAATAACTTTTGCGAGGTGGGGGAAGAAACCTATTTTCCATACCAAAAAAAAAAAAAAAGTAGTGAGATGAGTGGCATTGTTTTATATTTTTTAAAACTGTCTTTAATGTCAGGCTTAATAGAAGACATCTGGATTCTCACATCTGTTCCTGCATTCAATCTTTTGTGATACTGCACATCACATAGTCTCTGGGAAACTCCACTGTGTTCTCACGAGAGAATGAGTTTGAAAAAGGCCAATAAAGTCTTTGTGTTATTATGAAAGCAGTTCTGATCTCCTAGACCCCTAAAAGGGTCTTGAAACCCCCAGGTGTTCCAGGACCACACTTTGAAAACCA